AAAGTTCTTATCTCAAAATTTATGGATAATTCATATCGATCTGTTTTTACAACACGTCTCGTTTATCTTATGAAAGCTGGAATATGTATATCGGCGATCCAAGAAAAAATATGTTTTATTTCTTGAATATTAATCGTACTTGTCATGAGAAGTAATATATTCATATTTGTATTTTTAATAAGTAATGTTGTATAATATTCCTACGTGTTAAAATATTGTAGAATTTTTTTATTAATTACGTAACGAGCAAAAACATCTTTTAAACAGATCTTTATGCATTGCACTAGATTTGTACTGGCAAAAAATTAATTAACACGAAATATAGAACACATCATCTGATACAAACATTTTGTATTCTATAATATATTCTATAATATATTTATATATTCCTTTTTTTTTTTAAGACTCAAGATAAAATATATTTATAAAATAACTTTTACATAATAAAATATTTGTAATAATAATAAATAATAATGTAAATAAAATAAAATATAATAAAATAAAATAATTGTTTGCTAGAAAAATAGGCAATCGTGTAAAAACTGTCATAGTTATGTAAAACTTCGCAACTTTGCTTTTAAATTGCAGTCGAGCAACAAAAAGAGGTAAAGCGATTAAACGGAAAAAGATGATCGATGAAAGAAGCATCATTTTTTCCTGCAATACAAAATACAAAAATTCTTGAATTTTTATCGAGACGTTCCACTTTAATCACAAAACATAATCACCATTTATTCATTTTTCAATGGTAAAAAATTGAGTACGTGGAAAATTCGCGAAGAATTATTTCTAAGTAAGAAAGCGAAGAAGTTCTTTTCAAAGAACGTTGAAAAATCTTTTTTGCATTGTATCGAATAAAAACAAAGAAATTTGTAGAAATTCGTTATCTTTAAATTTCTCGCAAATTCTCGCAAACGAAGTTCATAAACAACGCGCCATAAAAATAAACCAAGAGAAACGTAGAAGTCGTGAAAAAAGTACGGTAAGTATATTTTTATAATCAACAAGATTCTTTCAAAAATCTATCTTATCGTCGAACAATATCTTTCTTGCAACAATAAATAAAATATATTTTTTCATACCACTTATAATTAAATATTAAACTATTCCCTTGCAATAATCTATAAATATAATTATAATATATAAATATAATATATATAATATAAATATATATAATNATAATTATAATCGTATATATAATATAATATAATATATATATATATAATAAATATAATATAAATATAAATATAAATATAATTCAACAATAAAAAGATGGAACGATATCGACCATACTCCGATGTGCAGATAGATAATAAAAATATAATTATAATCGCTCGTCTAACAATTACACGTTGGATTCCACGATGCGTGTCGCCACGTGAGCTCAACTCTGACGACGATCAAGCTTTGTTCTCTCGTTAGAAAGAACATTCTACGATTCGATGGATGATAAAAAAATTCTTTCAAACAAAAAATTCCTCCAAACAATTCTTCCTTCGTTATTTTTACGAACAATGGCGACAATTTATTCGACGCTTGGAATACACGCATCTCGTTCGTGACGAAAATTTTCGTCTCTTTGTAATTTATTTAAGAAAAATAGGAAAGAAAAGAAAAACGGAATATCTCAGAATACATAAGAGGATAAAAAGAAACAGACGAAGGCAAGAAAGGAGAAAAGAAGGGAGGGATGGACGTACAGACGGAGCAGTAACCTCGCGTAATCGAGTTGACCCCGTAGGACGATTAGCCAAATTGGAAGGTCACTGTGAATTATCACTTATCCTTGAGCTTGTGACGGCTCGTTGAAGACGTGCGATAGAATTTTTCTACGATTTCTTTTATTCGATTCATTTTAAAAAATTTCAAAATTTTCAAAAACACAATTTTCTATAAGCTCCAAGTTTTTCAATAACAATAAATATAACACACAAGTTTGAAATACTGCGTGCAAAAGCGGAATTCGATTCGAAACGATATTGATCAGATAAATTAGAAAATTAGAATTAACGTTACGGGGAACAGGTTTATAGGATTTAGATAAACGTGAAGTTGTAAATGTCATTATAATAATATGTGTAATTGCAAGGAACGATAAGGATACCAACTACTGCGCACTGAACAGTGAGTGTGAATAATCTATATAACCGGTGTCACGATAATTTAATTCATAAATTTGACAAACCTTGATTCTTGGTTAAGGTCAGTTCTGAAATATCAACAATTTCGTTGTTTCATTCCGCAAGGATAGCGATGTGGGTCATTTTGATCTATGATATTTTCAGAAATAAAATTCCTTAATGTTGTCAACAAGAGTAATAAATTCGAAAAAAGAAAAAAATATATTATAAAATAACTTTTACTTAATAAAATATAATAATTGTTTGCTAGAAAAATAATAAAAAATAAGAAAGAAAGGGAATGAATCAAAAGAAAGTCAATTATTCTTCAATCAGGAATTAAAAAAGTAATTATTGCAACAATTCTAGATCTATTTTCCAGTAATATATTTATCTCTCTGATATCATCTGTCTCTGACAATAAATTGCAATTATGGAAAAAATCATTATGAGATGAAATATGGAGACAAACTCGTTTCAAACTCGATCACGTATTTTCTTTAATCGATATTTAAATTTGATTTGACGAAGGAAAATAATAAGATTCTTTTATATATATATATATATTTTTCTTTTTTGTTCAACTCTGTTAGAATTATATAAACGAACAACCTTCCAACGACTAACACGAGTAATCTGATAGGATAATTTAGATAATTAGAATCATGACAAGAAGTTGTTATATCAATATTCAGATATTTTAAATTCTGGAAATTTTTTTTAAAACGATTCGGATCGATAATTATGGAAATTAAACTAAAATATATTACGAAGAGAATCTAATGGTTCTCGTATATTCTAAAGTATTCTCAAAAGTAAGCACTTGTAAGTTGTTGACACAACAATCGAGTAGAAATACAATGAAAAAAAATTCTTGTTTGAATTGTAATGCCGAGTTGATTAAAAGTGTAAAAAGTAGTTAAATATGTGAGTCAGAAATAAACAATATTTACGTATAATTTAATTCGTATTCAAAGAGTGCAAACAATGTAAATCACGTTCAAACATCTTCCGCTTCTTATCACTATGCAATCTTTTTTTGTATGAATAAAATCAATTGAATACGTAGTTGAATACTTACAGCAATATCTTATTATTTCTAGTTTAAAATTGCGCTCATTCTAAATACTGAAGAATATAATAATAAGTAAGTGTATTAGAAAAGAATTATATAATAAAACAGGATTTAAAATATATAAATTGGATAACGTCACGGAATATATTATACAGAATTATATAATAAGAAAAGATTTAAATTATATAGAAATTGGTGAAATTTACAGAATATTTACAGAATATGATGTTCCGAGAAATAAAGTATTTAAGTTGGGTACATAAAATGAGATAAAAATGAATTTATAATTTCATAAATTTCTACTTTGCGTATAATATGCTTTGTATTTATATTCATGTAGAAATTCGAGGAAACGATGATTTTACAAATGATATTGATAGAAATCAATCGAATCGAGTGTATTGAAATTTTAAATTAGGAGAGAATTTTAAATTTTTTGCAAGCTGATGTAAAACAACACAAAAATAGATATATCGTTTTTAAATAATAATATCAATTTTTACAAATTTTGTTTACTCTTAATTAAACGAAATAAAATATATCGTCGAGAGATTATCAGAAACTTTTCATTTCGAAATTTTCTTACGTATAAGAGGCTCGGTGAAAGTAGTGCACCACTCAGTGAAAGTCAAATCTACCATTTTTGACTCTTTGAATTATACGAAACGGAAGTTTAATATAATTTAAAAAAAAAAAAAAAAAAATGGCATCGAAATGACGAACGGAATATTGATGATAGTTGAAAAATCTTTTTGATTTCCTTATTTATCGTGCAAATGAATAACATGATTTGCACTTTTTACGTGTACATTATTTCAAATTGAAGGAGATGCATTATTACGCCATGTTTAGATATTAATGCATTAGAAATTGCTATACTGACTATATTGACCGCGAGAACTTATAAAGTGACTAAATCAGATGTTAGTATATAGTTAAGACCATATTTGTAATAATCACATCTAAGATATTATATAATACAGAATATTAAAGAAATAAATAACGCGTTAGCTACGCGACCATTAGGTTATACTAGATGATTTTAAAAATAGGTGATCAACTTTGTCTCTCGTATTCTATTCCTTCTAATTTTAGAATAATTTGTTTCTAATTTTGAAATTGTGAACTATAAATATCGTTATCGATATATAAGTATCGATAACATTAACTGCTGTCGATAAGTTTTCGTATATTTTCTTATCTATGCTACATTTATTTACTATTATTCTGCAAATATTTTGTATTTTAAATTGTATTTTAAAGTAATTAATTATATTAAAAATTCAGTTTGTGTGCTCAGTGTTATGAAACAAATAGTCAATGAAAATTATTATCATTCTAATGATAAACAATCTTTTTCACAAGTTGAATATTTTCCCGCGTTTAAAGTTACACGCGTATTAAAATTAATCTGGCACGAGACGATATGCAAGAACTGGTTTACATCCGGTGGTACTCCATTTGCTTATCCTTAAACGATAAAGTTATATGATACTCATATATGCAGTCTATTCTAAAACGGATTATCTTTGACTTTCACTCCCGTATCATGGATAAGAGCAACTATCTTTTTTACGGTTAGTTTTCCTACGAATTACGTTCGAAAAGATGCTACTATTATAAATTAATATATTTATGAAAATTAATATTTCTCTTAGAATCCACGTTTCCACTTTAAAATAATGAAAATCAATAAACACAATGAGAAGAAATAGAAAGAGAAAAAAAAAGAAAAACGAAAGTAAAGCAAAACAACGAAAGAAAAGGCAAAAGACAGGAATCGCGGGCAAAGCAAAAGCACGTACCTGAACAAGTCGCTTCACGTCGCTGCGATCGCGATTGTCGGACCCCACGGCTATGTTAGGTCCCCACATTCCACCTGTCAGAAGGTGGGTCTGCTCTCTCACGGACCGTAAAGGAAGCAAAGAAACCACTAACGGTGGAAAATAAATCGCGATTCGATAGTTTTCTTTTCTAACTATCGCGAAATCACTTTCGAAAACTAATCGTTTTCAATATGGCTGTATGCACAGATCCCATTCCGCTATTCACTATATTACTTACATAGTTCTTTAATGTCCATTTTCCTTTAACGATTCGCGCCGCATTCCTGATTGGATCATTGAAAATTCCAGAAAGAAATCTCGTTGAAAACTAATTTCAACAATCTTGATTACCGAAAAATATTTTCACGTTTTTCACGGATGTATTCATCAAATGTATTTGATCCTGCGTACTAAGAAGCACGCGTGGGTCTGGAATGTAAATGTACTGAACGAAGTTATCGAAAAATCGAAGAAAACAAGCGGAAACTACTTTTCACGATCACTACACGCACGATCGATAATGTAATACTATCCATATAATCTTTATGGAACGACTGATCCTACGGGATATCTCTCAAAACAAAAGTCCAAACAAATTGTTGCCCGAGCAACGTTCTCCACAACATAACTGGACACCGGTAGGTAGGGGAACTGATTCGAAGAGGAACGACTGCTAGAATCGAGTCTCGAAGGCGAGAGGAAGGATGCTAGCTAGGAGAGGGAGGCAGGGCAAAATCAGGAGGGGGAAAACTTCTGTCCTGATCAGGCAGGATGACCGGTAGGCGTTAGGCCCTCAACACAATCCGCGCCTGTATATCCTACAAGCGTCTCTATATGTACGTGAATATAATTGAAATATCCTTGTTTTTTCCTTTCAACTTTTTTTTTCACTTGTATCGTCTTATGACTCCATTTTTGTTTTCTAAACTAATAAATTTCTTCATTATCGCGAATTAATTTAATTAAAAAACATTTATTTTTTTGAAACATAAACAAATTGAATTGATTTTTCTATTATATATTAATTGATTATTTTTATTTTTTTTTTTAATTTATAATTTATGTTTAATTTCTTTTGATATCTTTTAACGATACGAATCACTTTAATTAATTAAAAAAAAAACAAAAATATATTTATAATAAATATGCTAATATATAATATGTAATAAATATTTATTATGTTATTTAATTACACATGTATATCTATATTTATAATCATTGTATAATTTATCTTAAAATTTCCGATTATAAAAATCACATTTTTAAATATTTTAATAATTTTTGTATTATATGTCATTTGTTGAAAATTATGAATTGAATCGTTATTTTGTATAACGAAATATAACTAATAAATAATATATAAGAAATCAAAATAATGAGGATACAAATAAGTAATACATATGAATAACGGTATGATGACACAGACTCATAAACGATCCAATACTTTTCCGCGCTATTCTATTTAACATTTTATATAAAATATTAACTTAGTTTCTTTAATATCATAAAATTATCATTTTTATTTATTTCTTAGTTATTTTTAATACTTTATAAAATTTATATGATTTGGAAAAATTAGAAAAATTCATAATTACATTATATATTTGAAACGAAATGTAATGATTTAAGAAATTTTTTTTTTATTTATATAATTATTATTTTTTTTATCTAAATATATGTATTATGAGATACATACATATGTATTATATATATATATGTAATATGAGATAATTAAAATATATATTTTACATGTACATATACATTTAAACATTTATTTTATTAAAACAAAAAATAAACTTTCGAACATTATGATTGACAAAAAAAAGCATCAAATAATTCGCGATCTATGAGAGAAAAAGAAATATTTAAATTATCATTGCTGAGTACACTGCAAAATTACATAATAATTCCTTTTACGATTGAGGCCAATCGCATTGCGTAAAAGAATCTCAGTATGGTGTTTACTGCTTTCAAATTATTCCTAAGCGCGCGATTTATGCAAATATGTATAAATATATAAATTGAAATTAAAAGAAAAATTTAAAATAAATTATTTCAATAATAACATTTAATATTTATATCAAGTTCTTCTTCATTTCTTTAAGAAAAAATGATTAAATTATACAATTAATTTTCATATTTTATGAAAAAGAATTACATTATACTATAAAAATAGTATAGTATATACATATAACAAAAATATCTCTAATATTAAATTTAATTTTTGAATTTATAAAATATTAATATGTATTTTTGCTTTATATTATAATTAAAATATAAATTAAATATTTTTATAATTAATTACATATATTTATGTTTATTTTTAAATTGTAAATTTTTTTATCATATTATTTATTATATTTTTTTCTGAAATGAAATTTCTATTTTCTTTTTAGTAATTTATTATTAGTATTAATATTATATTAAAATGAGTGTGATATATGATATTTATTTAATTTCTTTGTATAATTATTTGTGAATAATATTTCATATTTAAATTATAAATCATATTCAAATTATTTCAAAATTTAAGAAAACTAACCTCATCTATGAAATCGTAAAAAGCACGTGGACTATTAGAAGTAGAAATAAGATAACAACAATTATGGATTTAATTAATTTTTTTGATCATAATTCAAAAGAGTATAATGAATTTTTACAATATTTAATAAATTTCAGTGGAGATATACCATTTAATATAGAAGAGGTAAAATTAATTATTTGAAAATAACCTTACATATATAAAAAAAATATGCATATAAGATAAATATTTTAATATAAACATATTTTTTTTTTTAATATCAAATATATATATATATATATTTTTTTTTATTTCTAGATTGATAAAATACAAAATATTATCATATCCACTATAAATACTTATTTAAATCAATCACAATCTCGATATAATGGTTTATTAATTTTGGACAAAATTTTATCACAATGTTCAAAAGATATTTTTTCAAAATATTGCATACTATGGATATCAAAAAGTATGCAAGTATTAGAAAGCATTCATAGTACTTTACAAGAATTATCTATTTCTTGTAAAGTTCTTGGTTCTTTAATAATCCAATCAAAAAATATTCCTGAAATACAAAAACAAGTATCCACACAAATTGTGAAACAATTTATTAATACAATTAATAATTTGAATTCAGAGAAAAAGTGTGGTCCAATATATTATTTAATTGCTGTATTATTACATCAATACCCTGAAGTTTGTGAACGTTTTCAGGTAATCAATTTTCTTTATTATAATATATTGTATTGTACATATTTTGTAAATGTGTTTGTTCATATGTATTTTTATATTTTGTATTTAGATATCTATAAAAAAGATTATATTATTACAAATTGATTCTTCCCAAAAAAATTTAGTTAATGCAAGTGCAAGATGTTATGCTCTCTTAGCAAAAGCAACAGAACGTTCATTTAAACCTTCAGTTTCAAAATCAAATTACACTTGTTGGACATATAACCAAGCACTTATTTGTAATAGTTTACATGTAATAATGGATGAATTATTCTCTAATTTAATAGAATTAGAAAATGTAAATATCTCGGATAAATTAGATTTGCCCAATATATCTGAGGAAAATATTATTCAATTTTATTTTAAACAAAAACAAAGATTTTTAAATTTGTGTTCTTACTTATCATATATGTTGTGGTAAGAAAATAGTTTACAAATTATTTGAATATAATATTATAAAAAACAAAAGTGTTTAAATAATTTATATTTTTACAGTGGATTGGGCACAAAAAATTCAGTATTACCACATGAGATTTTAAAAGTTTTATGTAGAGGTTTAGCAATACAACCATCAAATATAAAAAATCAAAATTCTGTTAAAGAACAAATTTTATATCTAATTTTACCAGAATTACATATTGCATTATTCAATGTTTTAGATTCATTAATAAATGGGTAAGAATATGATAATTTTTACATATTATACTATTTAAATTAAAGTGAAATTTATAAAATTAAAATATTTAGATTTAAGGAACAATTAATACCATTTGGTTTAACAATATTACAATTATTTCTTCAAACATTGCAATGGACTGAAAATGTTTTAGTAAATCAAATAACAATTAGTGGAAACAAATCATTTAGAAATGTAAGGATATCTGTTTATAAATGTCTTAATTCTTGGTTAATGAATACTAATTCATTATCAGGTATAGAAACTATTGCAGATGAATATCTTCTTTCTATATTAAAAGATATAGTACCAGAAAAAGATCGTATTTTACTAACTGTAAGTTTAGACATTTAAAAAAAATTTATTTTGTTTTTTTTTTATAATACAATTGCTTATTATATTATAATGTTATTGTTATAGATTCAAAAGACACAAAATTTGTCAAAAAGAGCTTTAAAACGTTTGCGAGATAGTCAATATGAGAAAGGAATATATTTAAATAATGGAATTGCTTCTGATAAAGAACATTATCTAGATATAGATACATGTAAAATCGCTCTTGATATATTGCAAAATATATTTTTCAGTAGCGGAACTTTTTTAAAACAAACATTCTTTAAAGTAAGAATTTTTATTTTAAATTTTATTATAAAGTTTAACATTGAATATAATTATTTCTATCTTTTTTTCAGACAGTACAAAATATTGTAATATCTTTATTATATGACTGTTATTTGAGCAATACTGAACAAAAATTTTATAAAGAATATCCTGATTGTCGTCTCTTATTGCTTAGAGTTTTAAGAGCTTCACAAATGAATCCACATTCTTTAATGCCTTTACCTACGCAATATTCTTTAGAAATATTTGAAATGGCATTAAATGATAATAATTTATATATCATTCAAGAAGCTAAAATAGCATTAGCAGAACTTGAGAAAATCATACATCCTTATGCTCCACCTATCCAGCTAACTCAAGTAGAGTAAGTATATATAAAAATTTGTATATTTATATAAAAACATTTATATAAAAACAATTGTTGCATGCAAAATTTTATCGATATCGCTATATAATACTACTTTTTTTTAGAATAATACAAAAGGAATTTGTTTCTGATGATCAAATTGTGCAAGAACATAATGTAATAATAGAAGATGAAACTTCTTCTAACATTGAAATTGTATTAAATAAAAGTATAGAACCGTCATCAAATAAAAGATTAAAAATCACAAATTCTAATAAAAATGAAACAATAAACAACATTCAAAATAAAATAGATGTTATACAAACAAATCAAGATCCTTTAGAAGAACGAGATGATACAATGGAAAAACAAATGACAATTACAATACAAAACGAAAATATTATAGAAAATGAACAAGTTGTACAAATTTGCAAAAAATCAGCAAATGAAACTTCAGTGTCAAATGTAATTAACATAGGGACTTCAGATTCAATATCCTCATTGAGCATTATGAAACAAACTGACAATAGAAACGATGAAAGTATGGATACAACAGAAAACATTAATCCTAGTCCAGAAAATAGTACATCTGAAGTAAATCAAATAAATTCAGAATTAGAGAAAGGAGAAGAAGAAATATTACAATTGTTTCAGGATATACCAAAAAATTAATATTTTAAAATAAAAATATATGTATTATTATTATATATTATATTCCATCGCATTCTTAATATCAAATATAGATATAATATTATTCCATTTTGTAA